AATGTAGGGTGCAATGTTATGTGTGTGTGTGTGTGTGTGTGTGTGTGTGTGTGTGTGTGTGTGTGTGTGTGTGTGTGTGTATGTGTTTGTGGGTGGGGTATGCATATTGTATTATAATCCTGCGCAAGGGTAAATGAGACAATGCAACTTTTAGGGGGGATAAATGTCATTTGTTTGACATGTTATGGAAGGTATATGTAAATGTTTGCTCACAGGACAACAAGAAATAACATACGCTTTTTATTGCCTTTGAAAAAATCAAATGAACCTTATGTAGACTTCAGTCTCTAAGGAACAAGGAAACCACAGCCTATCACCTGATTTGAGAGTTGCAGCGTGAGCAGTACTTCTGTGTTAACGTTTTGAATCTGTGATGTTGAATCTGGTAAACAGTGATGTTAACATTGACTACACCACATTTGCTCTTCTACCTTGTCTTTGAAGATAGTGTAGTTGTGATCCAAGCTATTTTGACTGAAGCAACAATCATGCTTATGTCATAAATATGCTTAAATGTGTATGGGTTCCCTTTATTTGCTTAAGAGTTTTAAACAATTCAACCAGTCAGCCTAGATCAACAGCACTTTTATTAATACATCAAGAATACAAGGCTGACACAGTTTAACATAAAGACTTGAATTTCTTCTTAGAAAAACATGCACTGTCAACATTTGCAAACACCTATTGTCCTATACATTACCGTCACATCAACACTGAAGAACATAAGTGACAGAGGACACTGAAGAGTTAACTTCTGAACTATAAGCTGAACATTTTGCAATCAAACACTAATGTCAATGTCATACTGTACATATTTCTGTGGAAACACTATTTCATTTGATCTATTCTCAAAAATGAGCAGCTTTTGTCCGTTGCTGTAATGGCAGCTTCTGTGGTTTGAACCCAGGCTTGACCATGACTCAGTGTCTTTGAGCAATTTACTGAAGCTCAACCTGCAGCAGGCATCACACTGCCCCTAACATCAGTATGTTTTACTATGAAGAAGCATGTGAACTGAAAGTTTCTCACATGGGACTACATGACTACATGAGAGAACTGAAAAACAAGTGGGCACACATGAACATTTGAACTTTCACATAACACGTGAGATTGACTTTGACTTGACAGAAGATGGTAAAGGTGTGGGTCAGACAAAAGTCACATGGGCGTTGTGTGTAAAAACATCAACTGGCAAACTTGGTTTGGTGCAGTTTAAAAAACAACAGCAACTAAACGTTTGACTGTATAAATGGTAAAAAGCCTTATCCTGTCCACTTATTAGATGTACTGTATGTGTGCCATAAGAGAGCAGACATATCCAGTTAACTCCTTAAGAAATACTCAGATGTCATGTAACTGTATAATTCTGTATTATCACATTTTTGAAGTAAACCAATTAACTTTGGATAGCCAATGCAGATTTAAAAATATATATTGTAACAGTATCACACAAACACTTGTTATTGCTTATTCTGTAAATCATTGCTCTAAAACTCACATTTACATTTTAAACACAATACTTACAGATCAACACTGAGCAGCTATACATTAGGAAACTTTATGAATTTTTGCAAGACCCTCTACTGTAATATTTGACATTTCAAAAACAATACCTGACAGTAAAAAATGAACATGTTTTTTAAGCCCAGGAATGTCAGTGTTAAGAAGTCACAGTAAAACAAGCCCAATATTGCTGCTATTGAACATTTGTACAATTCAAAAATAAAAAATACAATACATGGTGATGGTGCCGTAGCAGATCAGAATTATCAACACGGGAAATACAAAGGTGAGTAAAGCCATCATAAGACTCATGCTCAGGAAAAATGTTCTCATCTACTTCTTTAGGTGAAACATATCCTAGTATTCATTACTTAACCAACTTCCTTTTTTCTTGATTGAAAAGTCCCCTTTTGAAAAAGATCACCACATCAGTCTCAATGTTTACTTTTTGCAGTCAGTAAACTAATCTGGCACAAAAATTAACATCTTTTATGACTTTCTAAATGTAGGGTGCAACGTTATGTGTGTGTGTGTGTGTGTGTGTGTGTGTGTGTGTGTGTGTGTGTGTGTGTGTGTGTGTGTGTGTGTTTGTGTGTGGGGTATGCATATTGTATTATAATCCTGCGCAAGGGTAAATGAGACAATGCAACTTTTAGGGGGGATAAATGTCATTTGTTTGACATGTTATGGAAGGTATATGTAAATGTTTGCTCACAGGACAACAAGAAATAACAATTAGCTTTTTATTGCCTTTGAAAAAAATAAATGAACCTTATGTATACTTCAGGAAACCACAGCATATCACCTGATTTGAGAGTTGCAGCGTGAGCAGTACTTCTGTGTTAACGTTTTGAATCTTACAGGGTAAACAGTGATGTTAACATTGACTACACCACATTTGCTCTTCTACCTTGTCTTTGAAGATAGTGTAGTTGTGATCCAAGCTATTTTGACTGAAGCAACAATCATGCTTATGTCATAAATATGCTTAAATGTGTATGGGTTCCCTTTATTTGCTTAAGAGTTTAAACAATTCAACCAGTCAGCCTAGATCAACAGCACTTTTATTAATACATCAAGAATACAAGGCTGATACAGTTTAACATAAAGACTTGAATTTCTTCTTAGAAAAACATGCACTGTCAACATTTGCAAACACCTATTGTCCTATACATTACCGTCACATCAACACTGAAGAACATAAGTGACAGAGGACACTGAAGAGTTAACTTCTGAACTATAAGCTGAACATTTTGCAATCAAACACTAATGTCAATGTCATACTGTACATATTTCTGTGGAAACACTATTTCATTTGATCTATTCTCAAAAATGAGCAGCTTTTGTCCGTTGCTGTAATGGCAGCTTCTGTGGTTTGAACCCAGGCTTGACCATGACTCAGTGTCTTTGAGCAATTTACTGAAGCTCAACCTGCAGCAGGCATCACACTGCCCCTAACATCAGTATGTTTTACTATGAAGAAGCATGTGAACTGAAGGTTTCTCACATGGGACTACATGACAGCGTAAACTACAACACAAAAAAAGGCAAGATTATGGCAAACTTTGCATGAATATGAAAATGTAACAAATAAAAATGTAATTTTCTAAAGTGATCTAATTTGTAAACCTTAAGGTAAAAAAGGAAACTCATTCATGCATATCTGGAATATATTGATTTCACCTTCTTTTTTACCTGTAATGTTAACTTATATGAGTTGGAATAAAGTTAAAATACGAAGAACATCTTATCTCTGCTTATTGCGCATGCAAGATGTTTACAGACGTGGAAATGCTGTTCACTTACACCTGTTTATTTTACACGTGAAACCAAAAAACAACTCACTGTTTGTAAAAAATGTGGACTGGTGACGATTGTGCAGTGTGTCTCTGAAATGACTGTTTGGAAACTCCTTACCCCCTGACACTGGCACTCTGACCTACTTTTCAACTTTGAATCCACCCAATTCTTAACACAGAGAGAACTGAAAAACAAGTGGGCACACATGAACATTTGAACTTTCACATAACACATGAGAATGACTTTGACTTGACAGAAGATGGTAAAGGTGTGGGTCAGACAAAAGTCACATGGGCGTTGTGTATAAAAACATCAACTGGCAAACCTGGTTTGGTGCAGATTAAAAAACAACAGCAACTAAACGTTTGACTGTATAAATGGTAAAAAGCCTTATCCTGTCCACTTATTAGATGTACTGTATGTGTGCCATAAGAGAGCAGACATATCCAGTTAACTCCTTAAGAAATACTCAGATGTCATGTAACTGTATAATTCTGTATTATCACATTTTTGAAGTAAACCAATTAACTTTGGATAGCTAATGCAGATTTAAAAATATATATTGTAACACTATCACACAAACACTTGTTATTGCTTATTCTGTAAATCATTGCTCTAAAACTCACATTTACATTTTAAACACAATACTTACAGATCAACACTGAGCAGCTATACATTAGGAAACTTTATGAATTTTTGCAAGACCCTCTACTGTAATATTTGACATTTCAAAAACAACACCTGACAGTAAAAAATGAACATGTTTTTTAAGCCCAGGAATGTCAGTGTTAAGAAGTCACAGTAAAACAAGCCCAATATTGCTGCTATTGAACATTTGTACAATTCAAAAATAAAAAATACAATACATGGTGATGGTGCCGTAGCAGATCAGAATGATCAACACGGGAAATACAAAGGTGAGTAAAGCCATCATAAGACTCATGCTCAGGAAAATGTTCTCATCTACTTCTTTAGGTGAAACATATCCTAGTATTCATTACTTAACCAACTTCCTTTTTTCTTTGATTGAAAAGTCCCCTTTTGAAAAAGATCATCACATCAGTCTCAATGTTTACTTTTTGCAGTCAGTAAACTAATCTGGCACAAAAATTAACATCTTTTATGACTTTCTAAATGTAGGGTGCAACGTTATGTGTGTGTGTGTGTGTGTGTGTGTGTGTGTGTGTGTGTGTGTGTGTGTGTGTGTGTGTGTGTGTGTTTGTGTGTGGGGTATGCATATTGTATTATAATCCTGCGCAAGGGTAAATGAGACAATGCAACTTTTAGGGGGGATAAATGTCATTTGTTTGACATGTTATGGAAGGTATATGTAAATGTTTGCTCACAGGACAACAAGAAATAACATACGCTTTTTATTGCCTTTGAAAAAATCAAATGGACCTTATGTAGACTTCAGGAAACCACAGCCTATCATCTGATTTGAGAGATGCAGCGTGAGCAGTACTTCTGTGTTAACGTTTTGAATCTTACAGGGTAAACAGTGATGTTGACATTGACTACACCACATTTGCTCTTCTACCTTGTCTTTGAAGATAGTGTAGTTGTGATCCAAGCTATTTTGACTGAAGCAACAATCATGCTTATGTCATAAATATGCTTAAATGTGTATAGATTCCCTTTATTTGCTTAAGAGTTTAAAACAATTCAACCAGTCAGCCTAGATCAACAGCACTTTTATTAATACATCAAGAATACAAGGCTGATACAGTTTAACATAAAAACTTGAATTTCTTCTTAGAAAAACATGCACTGTCAACATTTGCAAACACCTATTGTCCTATACATTACAGTCACATCAACACTGAAGAACATAAGTGACAGAGGACACTGAAGAGTTAACTTCTGAACTATAAGCTGAACATTTTGCAATCAAACACTAATGTCAATGTCATACTGTACATATTTCTGTGGAAACACTATTTCATTTGATCAATTCTCAAAAATGAGCAGCTTTTGTCCATTGCTGTAATGGCAGCTTCTGTGGTTTGAACCCAGGCTTGACCATGACTCAGTGTCTTTGAGCAATTTACTGAAGCTCAACCTGCAGCAGGCATCACACTGCCCCTAACATCAGTATGTTTTACTATGAAGAAGCATGTGAACTGAAAGTTTCTCACATGGGACTACATGACTACATGAGAGAACTGAAAAACAAGTGGGCACACATGAACATTTGAAGTTTCACATAACACGTGAGAATGACTTTGACTTGACAGAAGATGGTAAAGGTGTGGGTCAAAAGTCACATGGGCGTTGTGTATAAAAACATCAACTGGCAAACTTGGTTTGGTGCAGATTAAAAAACAACAGCAACTAAACATTTGACTGTATAAATGGTAAAAAGCCTTATCCTGTCCACTTATTAGATGTACTGTATGTGTACCATAAGAGAGCAGACATATCCAGTTAACTCCTTAAGAAATACTCAGATGTCATGTAACTGTATAATTCTGTATTATCACATTTTTGAAGTAAACCAATTAACTTTGGATAGCTAATGCAGATTTAAAAATATATATTGTAACACTATCACACAAACACTTGTTATTGCTTATTCTGTAAATCATTGCTCTAAAACTCACATTTACATTTTAAACACAATACTTACAGATCAACACTGAGCAGCTATACATTAGGAAACTTTATGAATTTTTGCAAGACAATCTACTGTAATATTTGACATTTCAAAAACAACACCTGACAGTAAAAAATGAACATGTTTTTTTAAGCCCAGGAATGTCAGTGTTAAGAAGTCACAGTAAAACAAGTCCAACATTGCTGCTGTTTAACATTTGTACAATTCAAATTTGAAATTTTTAAAAACCTGACTGAAATGAGAAAAATGCTTAAACATTTTTTTTTATTTTATTTTTTTTTTTAACATTTTTATACTTGAAATACAATTTTATCAAAGCAATACACACATTCTCTGAAACATAATTAATGTAACAAACATTTTCTAAAAACAACATAATAGAATATTTTGAAAGGGAAAAAAAATGCAACTTTTCAGGTGTATCGATTATTTTGTAAAATGGTATTTACACCAGTAAAATTATTCTCTGTCACTTGATTTATCCTGGACAACTGTGAAGGTTTTTCTTATAAACAAAACATTAGATCATTCTCAGTTACATTGTCATTACAACAATCTAATCTTCAATTTTAAACATATAGAGAATTGTGTAGGAAGTCTTTTAAGGTGAACAGGAAATGTTGTCACATTGTTTTAATTGGTAGAATCCCAACAGAATACGCCTATACACACTTGTTCTCACCAAAATACTATTGATAGAACTATCAAGTAAGTGGTTTATCATGATTTTACTTCATGGAAACAAATCTTATTATGACATCTTCAAGCAGAAGAACCCCCTTTGAGATGTTAACCCACGGTTGGGAACAATAACAGAACAATAACTTCACCCACTTCATATTTAAATATAAGATTTGAGTCTCACTCGGATATCTGAATCTGAGATCTCCCTCCAGTTGTTCCAAAGCTCTCAGTAGTGCCAGAATTGACAAATGAAGCGGAGGAGTTGAAGCTCTGCAGAGGCTTTCCTCTGCAGGTGTTGAACAGGATCTCAGCCTGTCTTCTGAAGTGATGGTCCAGGAAAAAATAGATGGCTGGATTGATGCAGCTGTTGAGGAAGGCCATGCAGCACGAGACCTGGAGTCCGTTTCTTTGCCATGTCTGTGAATCACAACTGAGTTCAGCATTTGAAAGCTGTGAGATAATGATAATGACTTTAAAGAAGTTGAAAGGGAGCCAAGACACCATAAAGGCCACGATGATGGCGAGGACCATCTTTAGGGAGTGTCTGCGGCGGGCTTTGGCTCGATGATTGGCAGTAGCAAAGTGCTTGTTGAGGTGCATGATGATGGTGCCGTAGCAGATCAGAATGATCAACACGGGAAATACAAAGGTGAGTAAAGCCATCATAAGACTTATGCTCAGGAAAAAGTATGAGCTGTTGTCTTCCACACATGAAGGACCATCACTGAGGTCCTGCACGCTTCTGTAGACCCATGATGGGATGCCAAGCACCAGTGAGCTCACCCAGACTGTAGCACAGGTGGCCCGAATGCAACTGCTGCTCCTCAGGGACCTGGAATCTATCAGTTTCACCACAGCCAGGTAGCGGTCAAAACTCATGCAGGTGAGAAAGAGGATGTTAGAGAAGCGGTTCACGGCGATGATATAGCTGCTCAGTTTGCACAGCAGCTTCCCAATTGCTCCAAAATTCCAGTAACCATTCTGACTGGCAGAGACAGCCCATAGGGGCAGCGTGAGGACGAAGACCAGATCAGCCAGGGCCAGGTTGACAACAAACGTGTCCACCAGACGCCCTCCTCTCTGACTTTTTCTGCCCACAACGGAGATCACAAAGAGGTTGCCAAAAAAGCCTGTGAAAAATATGAGGCAATAGAGCACAGGCAGAAAGATGTTGGCGCCATGGAGGGGAGAGCCTGGACAGTCCAAGGTGACACTGTAAGGAAATGATCCATTGTCTGTAAAGTTCTCATTGTAAAAGTAGTCATATTGTGTATAATCAGTGTAGGCATCCATGCTGATAGATCACAGAAAGGCTCTGCAGTGCTGTTGGTGGTTAGGCAGGGTGGTTAAGAACTTGATGTTACACATGAAACCACAGAAAAATAGGTCCTTCTTCTGCCCTCTGTTTCTCACTCTGCAGCACCACTGTCTTTCTTGGTCTCTTGTTGTCCTTTCAGGTCTGATTTAAGTCAGGCAGAGACACAAAATGTATTTCTTCATCGGTTTGACATTATTTAATGATTTTAAAGGTTAATTATCAATAGAAAACATTATTGGCACAGCAGGCTGTATAAGATGGAGTCAAGACAAACTTTTGCACTGTTTGAAAACATTTACAGATAAGCAGTTAAGAGGCACTCAGGTATCCGAAATCATTAAAAGAACATGGTAAGAAAAACAAGAAGATGTTGTTATGTAGAATGGCAAATATAGTAAGCTGTATTGAATTCTAAGTTTAAATGCAATCATTTGTTCTCTACTCTAATATGGCACAATAAAAGCTAGAATTTATTGTTACTGTTTTAAAGAAATGTACTCTTTGGTGGCATGTGATACTAACAAAAGCAGTTATTAATGTCTGATCCTAAGAAATGATAATGATTCATAATGGATTCGTTGATTACATTACATTTTTGTATTATTCATCTGATTTAATCTAAATATGTATTATTAAAGGTACTTAATACATGTATTAACTATATGTTTAGTAGAATGTAACTCATCTATAAGTTATATCTCTTCTGAATTGTGGTTAAAGCAGAAAGTTATATCAATGGAAATAATCAAGTGAAGTAAGTCTCTAAAGACTCTTCAACTAGTCCAAAATGCTGCAGCTCATGTACTGACAAAGAAAAGGGATCACATTATTCCTGTACTGCTCTGAACTGGCTCCCTTTAAAATTTAGAATAGAATTTCAAATCCTTCTTCTCACTTACAAAGCTCTTAATGATCAGGCACCATGTTATCTTAAAGAGCTTATAGTGCCGTATTACCCTTGGTGAGTATCACGCTCCTAGAATGCAGGCCTGCTCGTGGTACAGTCTCTAAACGTACTATGGGAGGTAGACCCTTCAGGTATCAAGCCCCTCTCTTTTTGAATCATCTACCTGTCATGTTCCAGGAGGCAGACACACTCTGTACTTTTAAGAATAGATTTAAAACATTCTGTTTTTATAAACCTTATCGTTAAGGCTGGCGCAGGTATAGACCAGCTCCTAGTTATGCTGCTATAGGCCTAGACTACTGGCACCTTGAGCTCCTATCTCTCCCTCTCTCTCTTTCTCTCTCTCTCATTCACATCATATTACTGCATGTCACTTGTAGGTTTATGGTGTATGTCACCCCACTCTTTCCTCACCACATTTACTGTGACTATATCTTTCCTATCAAATAAACACACACACAACTAAAAAAGAAAGAACATTTAAAGACTAAACTATGTCACCTATTCTTTTAAAAGGACAGGTTTGAGAAAGATAGATACATATTTGCTCACAGAAATTGTCACAATAAACAGTTAAAAAAGGAGACAGATTCTTACCTTGAATAGGGTGTAAACGTGTATTGTATCAGTATGACCAGTAGGGGGCAGATACGATTCACTTGAGTTTTACATGTAGCGACTTCTTGCCTGAAATCATGCTAACTGAGGCTCTGGAGCAAATCTCACTTATCTCGATCTGCAAAAGAAAGCAGATAGTAAATAAATCACTTTGGCCCATATGGTATTTTTTCTAGGCTGCGTAAACATACCTAAATGAAAATGACAGATATGACAAAGGAGACACCAGACAGAGTGTTGGAGTGTCAGAGGAACTTTTAGCAGGTCAATAGTGTGTGATTGTTGAAATGCTTTCCTTTAATTCATGCAATGAAAGTACCTAGTATCTCACCTGTATACTCAGAAACACTAAAATGTATAGAAGAGTAAATGTAAGTTTAAGATAACTGCTGTGGGTTTCCCAAACATAAGTGGAAACATGTCAGTTTCACCGTTTCATCCAATCACATTTTTGTTCATCAAAACCATTAAATCTTCCCTTATTTTTCTGTTTGCCCATTCTTTAGTCAAATCAAGTTTGTACAGTTCTTAAAAAGCTCTAAATTCTAAACACATTTTAAGGTGCAGTCTCTAACTCTTTTAGCACTTTCCCATACAGAAGTATTTGCTGGAAAAGTGAGTTTTGTCCTTAATAATTCATTATTTTGTTGGTTCATTTTATAATATTTATCCTCATTAAAGAAACGTTCTCATCTCAAGGATGTACCGATAGAAATGCAAATTACAAAGTGAGTTTTCTTTTTCTTTAATGTCAATATTATATTATTTAAATATATTCAGGTTGATGTGTTGTAGTACAAATATTCAACAAATATTCACCTGCTGCCCCATGGCAACTCACAATACAAACAAACACACAGTGACAGAACACTGAAGAACCTAAAAGCAAAGCAGAAAAGATTTCAAACATCAAATGTGAACTTTTTCTTTCTTAATTTCTCTTTCATGTCTTTGGGTAAATTAAAGAGTGTGGTGTGTCTACTCTGTTGGGATATCAATGAAAAACCAACAAATATGTTTTTGACAGCTATCCTGGAGGGGCTCAGCAATCAAGAGGCGGTGGTGTGTGTGTGTGTGTGTGTGTGTGTGTGTGTGTGTGTGTGTGTGTGTGTGTGTGTGTGTGTGCGCGCGCGCGTGTGTGTGTGTGTGGGGGGGGGGGGGGCAGTGTGCAGGAAAAAAAGGTTGGGAAGCACTGCTCTAAAGCAACAGTATGTGATTTCTGGTTTTAAAGCTTTTCCACCAAAATAATGAAACGCTCCCAGCCCTAACTCATGGATCCATAGCCTCCTACTTTGTGGACTTGATCAAAATGTTAAAGAGGTCAGGTGAAAATATTTTTTTCTTGTTTTGTACTTTTTCTTATTCTTCTTATCGTATTGTTTATTTATTTTTTAAAGATTTATTGTGGGGCTTTTGGGGCCTTTACTGTAGCAACAGGACAGCAGACAGATGGGGCAAGAGAGAAAGAGAGGGGAATGCCAGATGGAAAAGTAGCCACAGGTTCGATTTTAACTCTGGCTGTCCGCCTGGAGGACTTCAGCCGCTGCTCATTGGGAATGCGAACTAACCACTCAACCAGCATCACATGCTTGTATTGTTTGATTATATTTTCTGTTTTTTTTTTTTTACATGTCTTTTTTTTTACATGTTTTTAAACGCACCATTCGGGTGGTCAACATTTCTTTTTGCTTTTAAAATAGTTCCATAATTAACCTTGAAAAAGGTTTTGTAGAACAATGCCTGTGAAAGTGCAACATAAGTACATTTTAGTCATTTAGTGACTTAATATCCAAGAAAAAAGCTGACCTAGCTTGAGTACAAACTACTTAAAGCTTTACTAAAATGGGAGAGCTGAAACTAAAAAGAACAATAGACAAACATAACTTTCTACCAAGTAGAAATAGTCCACATTAAATATCTTTGTAAGGGAAGCAGACCATATAAATGCAAATGTGACGCGATAAAGCTGAATTTCTTTATAAAGTGTCTTAAATGCATTGTGTAAACGGCTCGAAGCAACGTGAAACTGTCTGACACTGCTACAGTGTGCATCATCAGCTAATCTTTACCACAAATCAAGTGAAACTGTCTGCTTGAAGTTGAACTGTCTGCTGGGTTTGATTTGACTCATTTCCTCAGCTCTACACCAACACCTTAGACGTCAACACATTGCCTCAAGACGATTTCCTGTCATAATTACCAGAGACAGGACAGAAGAGGATTTTGCAGCACTGACTGATTCAGAGAAGGGAACTGTCATCATGACTACAGCAGGCCTTTCGAAGAAAAGATCTCTGTGCTCCAGCTAGCAGTTTCTGACCATATTTTTTGATATCTCTGATATCACACTCAGGGTGGAAAGCTCAAATGCAATAATTTTGTCCTGGTGGTTCTAGCTAATTTTTAAGGTATGGCAACTATTGGTAGGGAAAATCTGGAGAGCATGGAGCCTTATTTCAACCCAAAACAACATATTAAATAAACCACAAGCTACCAGTACACACCTGCTAATATATTCGCTAAGCCACTCACTAGCTGGTATTTACTTTAGCTAGGAGTGGCTGAATATAAATGTTACAGTTTTATAGTGTTATATGACACGGCCAAGAAATGGTTCAATGCTAACAATGAACTGTTTTCTTGCTGATGAGTTATCAAATATGTTAGTTTAAAAGAAATATGGCTATATCACTGTCCTTTGTCTCTTCAGCTCAATCGCGAAGCAGCAGAATTGCAATGATTTGTCTGATTTCTTAAATTGATACGATATATAACCTGGAACACAAAAGTTGGACATTATCACAGCATTTCAGCTTCCCAACAAGATAGTGACGTCAGAGGAAAATGGTGGCTGTGTGAAATTGGTCGATTGTGCTGGGGCCTCAAGGAGAGAGGTTGGAGGACGCCTCATTGTTCCGCATGGAGTTTTGCTAAGAAAGCTCAGCGAATGAATGACCTCCTTCTAGGATCCCTGCTCCACTTTCTAGCATCGGTCTTTTTTTTAAACACTCCTTTACTTTGTGTCAAGGTGATGTGTGGATGTACTCATCACAGCAGAAAATCCTGTCAGCATGCATTGTTGGATTTGATGTTTCTACTTCATGCTCAGCTGTACCTTTTCCTTTAAAAATTTCTAATTATTTCTTCTGCATTCTTGCTGCCCTGTCAGTGGAACGCTACATTCCTCTCCTCAAATAAGTGCTGTCTCACTCCAATTGAGCAGAGTAAATGTGAGAGCCACTGAATGGAGCAGCCTCAATGGGAGAAAATAAACAATTGCATTGGTCCATGGGTGCAGCGGGGGAGAGCGGATGAGAGGAAAAGAGAAAGGCCTCCCTAACGTGCTAAGATTCCCATGGATACTCAGTCGTTTTCTGTTAAGAGGAGGATCTCGTAAAGTACTTCAACAGTGGATGATTTCTCTTCCTTTTACTCCGTTTTTATTTGAAGGGAGAAAGG